TTTTCTATATAAAAAAATATAGGATTTTTTTTATCTATACCATTAACTCTATTGTCACTCATAAAATTCTGTGACTTCCGTTTATTCCGTCCGTCCGCCACAGTCTAAAATAGCGATACATTGACCGTTCGAAACTAAATTTTGGGGAGAAACAAGTAAGGCAAGGGGGTAAGAACCGCGAAGTAGGGTTTTTATCGAAGTATTTTCCAAACAAATCAGCTTCTTCAAAGTTATGTGGGCATGACTTCAAGATCATTGAAAGAACGACTGGATGAACATCTAAGACTTTGTGATAAGGTAATTTTAACGAAAAACAAAAATTGGAAAAAACTTCAGCGATTGCATTACATGCCGTTACAGAAGGTCACAGAATTGACTTCGACCACCCGGAAATAAAATTGACGAACCAAAAGTATTTCAATCAAAGAAGAATAGCCGAACAAATGGTAATATCAACTACAAAAAATGCCTGCAATAGGACAGATGCAGCACAACTCCATCTTGTCTGGACATCTTTGCTCCAAAGAAAAAAAATATGATATGGAGGAAAAAAAATTTTTTTAATGCCTCGACTTGCTATTACGTTGTAAACGTCATCAACTGTTTTCCTTGATTTAAATTCTTAAGCGTTTCGAACTTCTTTTTGTACTGATTTACTCAAATTAAAGAGTGACCAAGATTGGCAACCGCTAGCCGAAATATTTCCATAAAAAAATAAATCATTCGTTGGAATTACAAGTTTTTTCTTGCTTTTAATTATGCAACTACCAACGGAGACAAACTTCAAATTTCATCGATTGGTATGCGAAATTGAACGAAACGTAGAGTTTGTAAATCTCGACAAAAAATGTTAGCGATAAATTCAACAATATTAAATACTGTGAAGATTTCAACAGGTGTCAGTGTATTGCAAAAAAATTCTAGTAAGATTAAATTTTGCGTTTTAAAGCATTATAAGTTTGTTTGATTGGTTTTCTACGGCTTATCAAACCATTGGAGGTTATTTAAAGCCAGAATATATTTTTAGATTCTAAGACTGTTTTTCAGATAATAATGGATACATGTCTTACTAATTAACCCATAACTGGGCGAGAAATGGATTCATGCCTTTCCCAAGGGTAATTTCGCGTAAGTAATGTCACGAGCCCCACAGAAATTAGAACTCGGCTCTCTGATTAACAATTCTGAGCCAATATCCATTGCACTAACCATACATCCAAACTTAAAGCATCTGGTATTTTCAAACGGTCACCCATCTTAGTACTGACCAGGCTCGACGGTGCTTAACTTGAGTAACTATTAAAAATAAAAATCCCCCCACTACAATCTTAACATAATACATATCGTAAAAAATGACGGCCATATTTAAATTATTTTTTAACTTTTTGGTTAAATTTTCTGCATGATTGAAATAGGTTTCTTATTTATATATCTTTAAATCTGTTGTTGCTTGTAAGAAAAAAAAATTCTGCCTTTTAAACTATGGGGATGCAACAGGCGATTATCTCCCTTTGATTGAGATGAAGTCACGAGGGTCACATGACAGATTCTTAGTTACGTCGTTTAGTTCACTTCTTGGGGTCAAACCCACCGGCTAAACCGGCCTCCTGGGCACAGCTGCCATGGGGCAGCAAACAAATCCATAGGGCCGTTTTCCCGTTGCGAAATATCTCCCTACTAGAGACATAGAAGATAAATGCCCGCTAGATTTATAGAAACTATCTCTAGCTCGCAGTCTTCTCGTTGGGAAATACCCATGACTCGCCGATTTCCCGTCGGGAAATATCTCTTCCCAAGAACATGAAATAAATAAAATAAATATGGCTTTTCCAGAAACACAGAAGAATTCTCCGGCAGCTCGAATTCCCGTTAGAAATTATTATGAATATATAACCCTATACGTTTTTTACCATTTCACACTGCTTGTTGTTGTATACATATGTAGTTTCTCTGTTTGGAACAAGTGTAAATATTTGTATATAATTTTGTGTATGACTCAGTAGTATAAAATTCTTTTTGAGTATAAAGCATGTTTGTCATTCCTTTTCTCACAGCTATTCTGTTCCGTCCGTGTATTCAATGCTACTATATCATGAATATATTAATGCTCATAATGGGGAAAATAAATAGGGAATATTTCGTTCCTGCATAGCCAAATCAATAACTGTTGACGCCGACCTGATAAATAAAGGAAATATTCTTCTTTTTTTATATATAGCACCCCCATTAAAATCATTAAAAGTTAAAATGTACAAAGAAAGCTGACACGAGCCCTAACATAAAAAATGACAACCATACCATATTTAAATAATTTTGAAGTTACGTTGGTTATATTTTCTACATGAGTAATCTAGAACTTTTATATATACAATTAACTCTATTGTTGTCTGTAAGAACGAATCTCGATTTTTAAATCAATGTAAATAAAATCTATTTGTCGGAGTTAGCTCCTCCTTAATTCCCAAATTGTCACTAGGGGTCATTCTCCCTATACTATAAATACTGGGCGACTTCTTGCCTCGTTCTCTTTCCTTCAGGCCTCGTGCCGCATCCCACCTCGCGTGGAGGTGAGGTAAATTCTCTTTTTCATTTCTTCATTTCTGCCACTACAATGTAAGCTCTCTTAGAAGATCTGCGTCTTCCCATTTGTGGGAGACGCCATGAATATTATACGCACATACACGTACGTACGTACGAACATTCACCAAAATACGAACATTCACAAAGAACAGACACAAACGTTCACACACACACACACACACACACACACACACAAATATTATTGTCTATGTCTATTGTAAAATTGTTTTGTTTAATACATATATTTGTTTATATATATCGGTCTTGTCTTCTTTATCTTCAGTTGGACTTAATTCAAGTCCGGCCATTTTCTTGTAGTTGGACCTTTTAATATTCTACCAGGAGTTACACACGCGTTACTAATATAACAACACTTAACAACCCCCGGTCCTTTACATATTTAAAGAAAGATAACCAGACGCCTACCATAAAAATGACAGCCATATTTAAGTAATTTGCAATTTCATTGGTAATAGTCTATTCACGAATAATCTAGAAATTTTATATATACATTTATACAATTAACTCTATTGTCACATGTAAGAAAGAAGTCTGTTTTTTATAACTTTAAAAGTAAAAAATTTCAACAGAAAACTAACACGAAACGAAATAAAATGTGATGTATTAGCAACCTTTAATAATGTGATACAAATATTTGGATGTGGTATTAACATGAGTCGTCCTTGCCTATTCGAATCGAGTAATGTTTCCTGTTAACATTAAAACAGAATAATTAGCCTTTGGCAGTGGAAAATCAGGTTATACATACTTAAAGTTATATTGTGTTTTCTTGTAAAAAGCCAATCATAGAAACCTCATTGTTCTAAATATTTTATCTGATGCCTGATAATGCTTGTGTGATTACTTCCACTTAGTTACCAAGTTTACCAAAACGTCGTTAGGCGGCGCTGCACAGAAACTATAAAAACGAAACACTTCTCTTTCTTCTTTTTCCTTCTTTCCTTTCAGCATGCGGTAGTAGCAACCACTATACGAAACTCGTACTCGGCTTGAGGGTTTCATTCCCCGGGAGACTGAACTCTTTCATACGCACACACGCGGGGGTGTATCACACACATACACACACACACACACACACACAGATTAACACAGTTCCCAATAGATAGATTTTAATGTCTTCTTTCTTTTCAGCTATGTTTTGCATACACACAAATATAACAAAAATCAGCGAGGCTCCACGCATAACTTCCGTTATAAAAAAAAAATGTAAAAGAAAAGAACGCCGGAAAATAAAACAATTTTGGCCAATCAAATAAATTGACACAAAGAGACTTTTGATGTTAGCCGGAACCAGTGTCCACGCCAGAGTCTCGAAGCTTGGTCAAAACAGATATAAACTGACCCCTCTGGGTTAGAGACGGCGAGAGTAACGAACGGAGATACTACCGCAGAGAAATCAGCCATGCGTGATCCGTAAAGAAGTAGTGAAGAGGCCTAATGATATTTCTACCCTGTTTAGGGCAGAGAAAAAACAGTAGATTCACACTGGCCTATTTCTAACATTACCACTACCCTATCATGGTCTGCCTTCAAATATTACCACTAACGGATATTTCTCCAGATTACTACAAATATCCACCTTATTAGCGAACTTTTTGCGACACCGAATAACAAATGACTTACTCATCACTCTAAAGAAAATAAATAAAAATATATTATTTATTTTAAATATCACCATGCGGTAGTAGCAACCCCTACGTACTCAGCTTGAGGGTTTCATTCCCCGGGAGACGACTGAACTCTTCCATACGCACACATGCGATGGTGTATCACACACACACGCACACACAGACAAACACAGTTCCTAATAGATAGTTCCTAATTTCTTCTTTCTTTTCAGCTATATTTTTCATACACACAAGTATATTTTATTTCTTGTTAATCATTTATAATTCATATATAAAAACACATGAAAATAATCACCTTGTTGAAATGTATTCAATTTCCTTTCACGTACACTGACAATGGCGATTCGTCATTTACATATGTACATTCTGTTTGCCACAAGTTTTAGTCCAGCTCGGGACAATTTCTGTAAGAAGTAGTTGGTGCTTTCCCGGCGCGATACGATACATAAATACACATATGCCTCCAACATTTTGCTATGAAAATTTTATTCGAAGGAGTTTTGTTAAATTATAATCTAGATAATCTAAATGAGGTCGAATGAAAAGGTCAGTAAAACACGATGACGTGTTCAGATCTACTTCAAATGATTTTATCAGCCATTTTTTTGTCGGTGGTGGGGGAAGGTGATGAAGTATCGTAGTTATTCAAAAGTAAAACGTGTTCTAGGCTTACGGCCAAATCACGTTGAAACACCAGTTCCCGAAGTTAAGCAACATTGAGCTTGGTCAGTACCTAGATGAGTGACCACTTGGGAATGCCAGGTGCCGTAAACTTGAATATACAAGTAGTGTAATGGATAATAGGTCGGAATTGTTAATCAGATGGTAGGTTCGTTACGCGCAAATACCCTTGGGAAAGGTATGAATCCGTCGGAGTTAGCCCCCTCCTTAATTCCTTAATTGTGCACTAGGGGTCGCTCTCCCTACATTATAAATACTGGACAACTTCTTGCCTCGTTCTCTTCTCTACTTTGCATTTTAGCGGACACATTTAAAAATGTGATCTCTCGTAGAGATCAGCGTTTTCGCCCACTTATGGGAAAACGCCATGAAACACACATACACGTACGTATGAACATTCACCAATATACAAGCTCTTTGCGTTCACACACGAACACAAATGTTAATGTCTTTGTCACTTGTAAATTTGTTGTTTAATACATATAGTTGTTGATTTTCTTTACATCTTCGGTTGGACTCAACTTGAGTCCGCCATGTTCTTGTAGTTGGACCTTCTAGCAGGAATAAACAGCACGTGTCCCTAATACAACAACACTCAAACCCACAAGGTCCTCTACAAATCAATCTCCCCATACCATACCCAATCTATAAATTAATTAGTAAGATTTTTATCACTAAATCATTATTATACCCACCCCACCCAAAGATCATCACAATCTAAAAATATCTTCTGGCTTTTAAACAACCTGCAAATGGTTGATGAGCCGTAGGAAACGAATCAATCAACATTTTTAGGAGTTAGAGTGGTAAATTTAAAATGTCGTTAATTTTCCTTCTTTCTGCCAAAATAAAGTTTTCTTTTTTTTTTAATGTATGTTATTTTCATACAATTTATTTATATTCTTTTGTGTGTATTGTCGTGTGTAGTTTTTAAGTTACAGTTGTTTTCTGGAACGTGATAAAAGGGAGAAATCTACACCGAAGGATTACAAGCTATATCACAGAGAGAAGTTGGACACGTGTTGTCCGTACCAAGGTTTGTGGCGAAGAGATTGAATTTAACGTCTTCCGGCGGGATGTCTGTATTTCCGACAGGAGCATTTTTTGTTGCATGTTGGGAGTATTTTTATTATTTTTATTTAATTTATTTTAAACAGCGTTTTTATGTTATTGCTTTATTTTATTTTATTTATAATTTTCATTATTATTATTATTATATTTTTTTTATTTATAACAATAATAATACTATCACTACAATATATTTCGCTTCAATGACGTCTGACACTAACAAGTCCTTGCGACAATCCTCCTCGCTTCACTAGCAAACTTTAGCTATACATACTTTTACAAGATGGTTCTATTTGTGACTCTCGCTGGTAAATGTGACTTAGACAACACCAAGTAGACAACATCCTGGTAGTAAAAAAAGAAAGCACTTGCATGTAAATGTTTTAGTCTGGCAGGCAGTCTGTGATTGTAATGAAAGCAGTGAAGTTTTCGAAGCACGCACACATACACATTTTAAAAATCTTAACAGAAGATTTTACACATTGGAAATTAAAAACGGTTCAATACACGATATTCAAAATCAGCTTATCGTTAATAAAATGAATAAGTAAATAAAATTGTTTTTTCAGCTTTACGAAGGAATTAAAGAAACACGTCTATCTTTTATGGAGGCCTATTAACGACACTTAACAGCATAGCCACACACAAAGAGACCAAGTGCAGAATAAAATGCAACAGCCACGCCATTGCACTTTCTCATTTTTACACTGGTAAGAAGAAACCTGATTCTATTCAAAATATTCCCTACATTCCTTTATCCATTTAAACAAATGGTCTTACTTATTATTTACACTATTTACATTATTCGGACTGTAGTCCTCATGTTTGTTGCCATATTCCCGACGTTTCGATAGATGTACGCTCCAGCTTTCTTCAGGTGATTGGAACGTCGAACCAAACCCTTTATTACGTTCACCAGGGTACTTACTTACTCCCGACTGCCGTTGTCATATTACTTCTTACTCTTGTTTGTTTGTATTTTCTATTTTCAGTCTAACTAGTCTTACTTATATGTATGTGTTGCGGGGCCGAGTAGGATGTCGCCCCCGCAAGGTAATATGTAGATAAATGTGAACAGCCAAGACAATGACGGGACAAAGGCAAAGGTTTTTGTTATGAACAAAAGTGTCGAATTTATTAACACGTTTACATCGGTGTGGTCCGGTATGACTGGTTGATCGGCGAACGTAGCTGGTTCGGTCGAATGTAGCTGGTTCAATCGAATATAGTTGGTCTGGCCCGGTAGTTTAGGATTGGTAGGCGAACGTAGCTGGTTCGGTCGAATGTAGCTGGTTCAGTCGAATATAGTTGGTCTGGCCCGGTAGTTTAGGATTGGTAGGCGAACGTAGCTGGTTCGGTCGAATGTAGCTGGTCTGGTCCGGTAGTTTAGGGTTGGTCTGGCCCGGTAGTTTAGGGTTGGTCGGCGAACGTAGCTGGTTCGGCCGAATAGCGAAGACGGAGTCCCTAAACAGGGCCAAGGCAGAACAGTGATGCGACTTCACAGGGCGGATCGACCGCGGAGACGGGATCGCGCCAAAGTGTATCACTTTGCGAAGACGGTGTCCCTAAACAGGGCCAAGGCAGAACAGTGATGCGACTTCACAGGGCGGATCGACCGCGGAGACGGGATCGCGCCAAAGTGTATCACCAGGCGAAGACGGTGTCCCTAAACAGGGCCAAGGCGGCACAGTGATACGACTCCACAGGGCGGATAATCGGCGACCGTGACATATGTATTTATTTTTTTCTAATATTACCTGTTTGGTTCTTAATAAACCTGTCGATGAACGGGACTTTGTCTTCAGAGGTGTTATGATCCAGAATAATGATGATATTTCATAAATTCATATCATTCTAAAAGCAATCTTTCCACCAGTGATGATTGATGATAAGGATATTTTACCATCCTGGAAATAAAGATCTAATATTTCATCATTCTAAAATTTGAAACTTCATCATTATAAAAACGACACTTCCATCTTGTTATGGTCCGGTTCCTTGTACCACGGTGATAGTCCAAGATAGAACCAATAAAGAACTAGAACACAGGTATGGAATAACACAGATATATTACAAACAGGAATATATACAGAGAAGTAGATGTGTTAGTATGAACAATCAGGTTTAGTAGGGAGAACAATGTAGTCTCGACCAGTATCACTATTCCAATGTCTTGCAGTAATTGTCTGAACGCGACTCTGTTTCGGACTGCCTCTGACTCGACTCTTGACTCGACTTGAACTACTGACTCCACTTGAACTACTCACGAGGCGCAGTATTTATTAAGTATGGAATAGTTCATTATTATTATTATGGGTAAGATCCCATAACACATCTCAAGCGAGGTCAGTGGAGTAGCTATAATGTTCAATGATTCAAATGCAATGTTAATCGACATCTTCAGATGCCTTCATCTAATTCCCCGTCCTTCTCTTCATACTTTCCTCTATCACTCCTCTTTACTCTTGCTCCCACCCTCTGTAACAACCCTTGCGTGCTAGTGGCACTCCCGCCGTGCCTGGGGTGAAATGCTTAAAAAAATATATACTTTTTCTTCGTTTTATGGGGTGTTACTCCAAAATTTCTGGGAATCTGAACAGCGCACGCGAATAAAATGTAGTATGGACTTTTGCCGCTACCCTTTTTGCAAAGTAAACGGAAACAATATTTTAGGGCATGGGATTCGATCTCCCCGAACGAATATCACTTCGTATATTACTGTATAGTTATCTTTTTCTCAAAATATGCCTTATTAGATGTGTGCAAATATTTCCAGCGATTTTTGTAAAGCCTAGAGATGTCACCATGAAAAAGGTACAGATGTTTAAATATCTGAGAAATTTTTTTTTTTTAACAGAGGATGGAAAATGCGACACCGAAATCCGAACGTACACTAGATTAGCGAAAGATGCATTTCAAAAGCTAAGCAAAGTAATAAGAAACAGGAAAACTGCCTAAGAAACAAAGAAAAGAGTGGTGAATGCTAGGCAATTTCCTCGCAGAAGAAGAGTAGACCGAAGGCAGCAGAAATGTGGTTCTACAGAAAGATGCTGAGAATACCATGGACTGAGCGTGTAAGCAACGAATAAGTCCTAAGAAAAATGAAAACAAAAAGGAAATTTTTACTTAACATCAGAAGGAGTCAGTGGAAATTTTCTAGGACACATAACGAGGAAGAAGGACTTGGAGAATTGATTGGTATCTAGCCCCCCCCCCCGCCACGAGTGTTGCATGTGGCACAAGGCCGAGTTTTTACGTGGGTTTCCCGAGCCCGTAGGCTCGGCCAAAAAATGCCCGTAGAACCCGTATAAACGGGATCGGGTTGGTCATTTCTCCCCGAACGAGATTCTGCCCTTCGGCGGAGCCTCGTCCGAGTTCCTCTCTGCTCAGATGCAGAGAGTTCGACCGTCAAGCCGAGCTTCTCGGCTTGATTCGTCAAGTATAAATTGCATTGCTTTCACGCATTGTCCTTAATTTCATCTTTCCTAGCCTTGGAGAATTGATTGGTCCTGTGAGTCGACACTCACAGGACCAATCGAAGGCAAACGGGTCATTTGAAGACAGCAACTGGTGAGATTGTGTGAATGGCGGATCGAGAGTCGGGAAGAAGCAAAAAGACATGTTACGAAGAGCTATAAGAGATAGAAAGAAATGGAAGGCCATGATCGCCCACCCACTGAAGGGACAGGGCAAATAAAAGAAGTCCCATTTCTCGCTGGAAACTTTTGTACACACCTGATAAATTATGGTCCATTGTAGATATAACTGACCCATTGATCGGAAAGTTGCCTTCATATATCTGAAACTCCGCCCACTTCGTGGAAATAATCAAAGATGCTCCCATCCTATCCAACCAGATGGTGAGCTTGGACATGGTGAGTTTGTTCACCAAGGTACCCATGGAAGAGGCACTCTCAGTAGTCAGAGACAGATTGGCTTCTGACACATCCCTAGAAGAACGGACCGGTATTCCAATAGATAATCTGATGGAGATATTGACTTTGTACACAAACAACACACTT